TATATATATATATATATATATATATAAATAAATACATACACACATGCATTACTCTCTATTCCCAGGTTTCTCTTTCTATTCATCTGATATCCTGCTGTTGGAAGTATTTCCAACATGCAATAAAATGAAACATGGGAAAAAACAAGAATTCACTATGGGACTAACCACATATGGTATCTTAAGGCCCTTAAGGCTAGAGCTTTGATTAAAATATCATGTTTTCCAGAGCCTGTTTCCATGGCAATTCTAAAAAGAAAAAGAAAAACTAAATTAAACATAATCTCTCTGTTTACTCAAGTTATCGTTGTTCTCAATTGATCTTCTTGATCAAATGAGCGCTATTCACATAAGAAATACTTTGAATATTTTAAATCATATCATTGCCAGGAAGGATCTCCTGTGGTGGTCTGTCTTACAGTAGATCTGGAGAAGCTTCTGTCTGAATACACCCTGGTGTTTGTTTACAAATTTATATGAACAAACACCAGTAGTTGCTTTTAAGCTCAATCAGTTAAAGTTAGGACCTCTCTTCCAGATCCCACAAAGCCTGTATTATGGAGCTCTTAGTGGTGGAGAACAGCAAAAGGGACCCAAAAATCAAAATTCTGCTTAAGGCCCTATGCAGCCTTCCACCTTCCATTATTAGAGGGCCTTAGAAAATATTATCAAACTACCATTCTAAGTTGTTGAAACACATTTGGGCTAAATGGACAGGTATCTACATAATAGTTTTCTTTTTTTTTTCCTGAGGTGTGTTTGTCTCAGTCATCTGAGACTGAAACAAGTCTGAGGTGTCTCAGACTTCTGGAAGACAGTAATTTCCTTCCATACAGAAAAATCCATCAAGCATTATTTTTCATTTTTGGACCCAGTATATATGAATGCACTCTTTTTTTTTTTCTAGTCTTCATTTTTCTTTCATTTGTATATTCTTTTAGAGGATGGTAATACAGGACATAAACATTCTTGTTATATTGGAGTGAATGAAAAAAGAAAGAATGATGTTAAAATGAAGATGAATTGCTTATAGATAAATTGCTATCTTGAAAATAATGGGGGACTGCACTGCCTTGCAGCAAGAAGGTTTCGGGTTCGATTCCCAGCCCGGGGTCTTTCTGCACGGAGTTTGTATGTTCTGCCTGTGCATGCATGGGTTCTCTCCGGGTCCTCCGGCTTCCTCCCACAGTCCAAAAACACGACTATTAAGTTAAATTGGCCTCTCCTTACTTTGTGAGTGTTTGCATGAATCGTTGCTTTGTCTCTGTGTTGCCCTGCAATGAACTGGCAACCTGTTCAGGGTGTACCCCGCCTCTAATTTTATGTCCTCCCACAGCTCTTTGGTTTTTGCCATGGTTGAATTTGGAGTCTGACCTTTTTGAGGCTGTGAAGAGGTGTCTCATATACAGGTAACAAGTTCAATCGAGTGTCATTAATTCAGGTAACAAGTAGAGGACAGAGGAGCTTCTTAAAGATGATGTTACAGGTCTTTGAGGACCAGGCATCTTTCTTCTTGTGGGTGACACATTACTTATTTTCCACAATAATCTACAAATCTATTCTTTAAAAATTCCCAGGATTCATGGTAGTATTCTCTCTCGTAGGAGAACTTGCACAATCAGTGGCTGACTAAATACTTTCCTAACCACAAAAAGTGTTTTCTTTTCAAATTTATTTTCAGCAACACTCAGAATAAGTGAAAAAAAGAACAACAGAAACAAGGTATTTACCGGTACATAAAAACAATATCTAAGAGCAACAGAGAGCATATGTCATACTGCAAAAATTAAACTTGTGCTCGAGGGTTGCAATTTTTCAAGAGCAGATACAATTTGAATGGCTTTAGTGTTTTTATTGGTTTTAAAGTCTCATTATAGATGTTAATCATAGATAATAAAATCTGAGAATTGGCCATTTCTCAATATATTAGAAGTATATGAATATATTTACAATGTGAATATAAAATTCAGAATAAATAACAACCTATAAATGCTCTACATTGCAATGGTCATTTTATTCCCATTTAAATCAAGAAGATTTTTATTTGTTAGAATAATTTTCAAATTTCTTCAATGAAAGAAGTCATATGCTTCCAAAGGATTTTGTACAACAGTTCCAAAAAAGACAAACAATGCTTTCTTCATGATTTTTCCAGAAGTGTTTCTTTTATCTTGTTAACAGAAGAGCCTTGACTGCATAACAACCATTAGCATTGTTTTTAAAGAAATCTCTTCATTTATTTTTTTTATAATGCATTTCTTTGAATCCAATCAAGTCCACTTCCATTCTATATTACGTTACCAATATCTCCACCTGCTGGTTGATTTCTATATTACAATATGGTTGAATGTTTTACATGTTTACAATAAGTATAGATTAATGTTAAAATATATCCATATAGCAGAATACACAATAATACACATGTTTTAGATGGTAGGATTGCATTAAAAATAGATAAACAAAACAGTAAAACTATTTAGAGCATAAATGATAAAAAAAAATACAATAACATTTATTACAATATTCTATTTTATAAATATTTTATATATTTATATATACATATAAATTATTACATACATGTTTCCTTTCATGCAGTCAGGCAAAAAAAAAAAAAAATCAGGTGGTTCTTCTGCATCATTATCAGACCGCCTTAACAATTGCTGAAGTCAGCAAATCCAGAGCCATGAACCCAAAACGGATCACCACATGATTAAATAGATAAAAAAAAAAAACCAGGTCGTAGCCACGCCCCCTAATCCGACCGTTTCCATAGCAACCGGAACACCTGCATATGATTGGTGGTTGGGAGTTATATGCCTGCATAGATGTTGGCCTGAAATTGGAAAGTTCATTGTCATTTGCTGCCTTTAACTCTGTGTGGTTTACTGAGCTCCTTCTCTGGCATCATGGTCGAGCAGTTTGTTGGAAAGTGGACGCTTGTTTCCAGCGACAACTTTGATGAATACATGAAGGCTGTCGGTAAGAGTTGATTTAATTAAGGATAAGCCATGTGTGCTTCCCCCTAATTGCTGATCTAATTTAAAATCAAATAATTTTCTGTATTAAATGTCTAAAGGCATGAGCTTCGCCACTCGTCAGATGGGTAACCTGGCCAAGCCTAACCTGGTGATCAGTGTTGGTGATGATGGGCTTATTTCAATGAAGGCTGAGAGCACTTTGAAGACTGCTGCGATTAAGTTCAAACTGAATGAGGAGTTTGATGAGACTACAGCAGATGGTCGCAACGCAAAGGTGAGCCATTATCTTTAAACTCTTTATATCATTAAGGAACTAAGCTCACCCTCCACGATGGCAAGCCCTCATATGTTCTTATCTCCTAATTTTGAAGTCCATCTTCACAATTGAGAATGGCAAACTTGTGCAGAAACAGTCCTGGGATGGAAAGACCACTACCCTGGAGAGAGAGGTTAATGATGGAAAACTTACAGCGGTGAGTAAAATGATTGTAAACTTAATTTAACAAATCTGTTTCCCATCATGCACACAAAAGAAATGATGCTTTATTTTCTTGCATCTACTTAAGCATAGTTGGTTAACACAATTGTTTAATTCATATATATATATATATATATATATATATATATATATATATATATATATATATATATATATATATATATATAAAAAGTGTAGTGTAGCTCAAAGTTTAGTTTTGAAATGTAATAAAGGTCCAAAACTCAACTATTGCACCTGTTTTAATCCTTTAAATTATAAAATATTTTACATTGGGTTACACCAATTTTAAAATGACTTATGGTCTCTTATCTCAACAGAAATGCATCATGGACGATGTCGTTGCAGTCAGGACCTATGAAAAAGCGGCATGACAAGACAAAGATGAATGCAACCAGTTATTTGAAGATCTAAATAAAACTTAAATGTGATGCTACTCTTTGTTCATTTGTGGTTAATGAAAACTGGTTTGCTATGATGGCTGCTTTTTAGGCTTCAAATGTAGGGGTCTGCAGATTTTTGAAGTACAGTTATGGGTGTAGCTAAACTTCTACTCTCTATGCAAGTGCATGTGTGATGTGGGTGTTTTTAATTCTGCTTTTACAAAGCTACTTAACACAAGGCTGATTGAACTGGGATAATTTCCAAGCCTAATCAAGGCTTTGAGGCTGTAATGCCGCCTCTAATTGGTTCATGGAACTGTGTCAAAAGACTTCTATAGTAACCAAATGGGGCGAAAAAGCCCAATGTTAAACATTTATGGGTTGCTGGGAGTATGGCTGACAAGCAAAAGCCCAGTCCTTTGTATAATATGGATTTGGCAGGCCATATCCCTGGTCTGGTTGGTACCATGACGACCCCACCCCCCTTTTGCAGGAGGTCGATCTTGGCTGAACCAATAGGAGAGTTGAAGCAAGGACAAATATGGTATTAATTGGGGCTCGTTGAAACTGGGTCGCTGCATGAATCCACAAAGGCTGCGGCTAAGAGCTTGAATCAGTGCAGTAGTCAAACAATAAGGGCACTGATTGGGAAGAACATGATGAACATATTCTGTCAAATCAGCAATTCTGTTGGAGGTTTGTTACAAATTCTTCGGAAGAATTGTCTCCCCACCTAACTTTTTTTTTTTTTTTTTTGGAAACCGTATTACTTTGGATTAAGACTTGCATGTGGGGGGTGCAGGATTTAGGAAGCAGACTTCCTTTGGATTGGCTTTACCCTCTTAAACACAATCACTCTATCAGCTGATGAATTCTTGTATTGTTCTAAATCCACTAATCCGCTCCTTTGGCTATGAAGAGCCTGTAGCAAAAGAATTGCTGTCTGTTCTAGTAAATGTATGTCAATCCTTTAGACTGGGGTAGCCAAAGCAGTCTATAGATCATAATGCATATCAAAGTGCATCAGAAAATAAATCAAATTTGTCCTACATTCCAGGTTTCAGTGAGTAGCAAAATTACATATGGTGGACTATAATATTTATTAAATGAGCCGAAAGAGTTTAAAACAAAGATAATTGTTGACTCTGAAATAGATTAAGGTTTAGACTGACTCGGCCACTCTAGCAAAAAATATTCAACCATTTCTGAGGTTTCCTTTGAAGGTTATCTTGCTTTAGCATCACTCCATCTATGTTACCATTATGTTCACTGTCCCTGCAGATGTATATACCCACAGCATGATACTACCCTTACCATGTTAAAGGGTGATTTACACTTAGTTTTCTGCCAAACATTGTGCCTTCCATATAAGTCGATGCTAAAATGTTCTCTCATCTGATTAAGTAAGCACCTTCTACAGGTCATGAGTTCCCTTAGTGGCTTGTAATACAAAGGTTTTTTTTTTTCTTCTCCCTAGCGAAAACTAACAAGAGGTCCTTTGTCATTTTTAGTGTTTTTTTTCTTCAAATTTTTTGGGGGAGGCTTATAAAAGGAAGCATCAACCATTTGCTACATTTGTATATTGTTTTTAGTTTCAGAAGGCTGTGGTCCCATTCTGATTTGCATCATCCATGTGTGCTTCTGCTGCATAATGACATCCTGCATGGTAGAAAACTTTCTGGATTCAGGATAGCAGTCCAGACTTCTTTTCCTACCCATGATAGGGTTCTTACTGTTGGCCCTATGAAAGGTGAAGGATCAGGAGCTAGGGAACCCTTTTCCTTCACAATATATATAAAAAATACAATTTTACATTTCTAAACTTTAAATTGTTGGAAAATAAATCTAAAACATTTTTTTTCTAAGAAGCTGCTTCACTTTTTAGGTTGAACAGGGTCTTTAACAAACCTCTAATTAGTAGTCCATAACTTTCTGTTTTCCTAGGAATGTCTAGCAACCTGTTTTCTCTCCTTTCACCACAAATGGAAACATAGTTTGTTCCTAGCACAGCCAGACTTTAGCTGGAACTGAGCATTTTGGTCAGACAAGACTTAAATTTAGCTTTTTGACAGTTCTGTGGGAATATTCTGTTCCAAAAGTCTTGGCAAACTCAAAGACACAAAATCATCCTCCATCTTTGCTCATCTCAGTTCAAAAACTTAAACCTATGGAACCCCTGGAGGAATTTTCTAAAGCGAATAATTTAAGAGGAATCAAGATTTTGGAAGGTAAAACATATTTTATAATATACATATTTTTATTAAATATTGTTCTAAGGTCAGAGCACAAGAAACAATTGTTTCTAATCTTTTATATTGCAGATAAACATATTTTGTAAGGAGTAAAGTCAATTGAGTTCTGTACAAATTGAAAACCTCTTAATTCTGCTGCCTCATTTTTTTTATTCCACTCAACATTGCCAGATCACTTATAAATCATGGCTGCAGACCTCTGACGTAGACAGATCACTTGTATAGCCGTATTATGCGAATTATTACAGAGGAATATGTGCTTTCTTATATAATGAGGTTTAAACAGTGAAGAGAAATGATTACATTTTTATGCACGGAAGTTTTTTACTAAACATTCTCAGCGTTAGTGTGAGTTTGTATTCTGCAGAATGCTGGCATCTTGTGTCGTGTATTGGCAATAACACATTGGACGAAACCAAGTCATTAGTGCGGGGGAGGTCACATTATGCTTTTAATGCGAAATATATTTCAAGAATATATAATGTATTGGATGATGAAAAAAAACTCATACAATTCTTTATAACTTCATGGAATTGATATTTAACAGAGAGTAACATCGCTATATCGTTCATTTTTATTAATTCCGGATGAGCTAATCCAACTCTACGTCCGTAGGTGACGCTTCGCTTTTAAACATGGCCGACCTCGAAAAAACAATCATGGAAGTGGACAAGGGGAAAAACAAACCGTTCGTAAATCAAGTAAAGGCGCAGCTTGACGAAGCTACCCACATAACAGACAAGCGGAGGAGTCCGGAAGCTATTAACCAGTCGGCTGAAAGCTGCTCCACAGCGGAATACTGTGAGAAGCTCCAGGCATGGATGTGGCAGTACTACAGTGGATATGTGAACTGGCAGAGCTGGCTGTTAGCGTCAGTCCCTCCCTGCTTACAGCAGCCCAGCGGAACGTCCACTGCTCTTGTTTTTAGCGCTCAGAACGGACAAAATGCTCCCTTTGGTCTGCCACTGTTGCCTTATCCACCTACTACCAGCTTCCCGAGCAGCCGGGCAGGAGAAACCGCTGCCGGAGCCCCAGCGGCCGCTGGGCAGCAGCGGGATCAGGGGAATGCTCAGAGACAGGGTAAAGGCTAGCTTTGGACGCTCCATAATGATCGCCTTTACTTACAGATCCTGTTCAGTTTCCACAAGTGAAATCTGACAACTTTGCGGTTTGCCTTTGAATCAACAGCCTATTTCAAAGCAGAGAAAATATAAATCTATAATCAGAAATGAGAACAATTCTATTTTTGCACCCCACTTTATTAAGTTCACCATTTATATCTTTTTTAACTTTATGCTGTATCAGTTTGGATGAGGCATTAGTTCACATCAATAGGCAGGTTGAGGAAAAAGGGACATTTTTTCTACATTTTGTTACTTTGTTTACAACAAACTACATGTTCTAATTCATTTTTTAAAGCTGATTAGCAGTAGGGGTGTAAATCACACCCATCAGGGCGATTCGATTCAGTATCGATTTCCTGACCCAACAATTAGATTATTTTCGATACTTAAGAATACACCACGATTCGATTTGATTAATTTGTTGTTTTTTTTTTTTTAACCTTACAGGCTAGACATTGTTCAAATTTGAAATAAATCAATGAAAGCTGTGTGTTTACGTGAGTGTGTGTTAGAGGAAGTGGAAAACGGGTAGTGGCTAAAGGAAGCAAGGTAGAAGGGCAAAATAGGTTTAGCGCCACCGCAGCATGGGAGTCAGAATTATGTCCAGGACCAAATAGATAAAAAATAGACCAGAGGAATAAAAAAAAACATGAATCGATTCTCTGTGCACATGTTGATGCATTGGATCGTCGGCTATTGGATTGATGCATCGATACAAAACGATTATTATTTACACCCCTAATCAGCAGTAGTAACAGCCAGCTGAGATTGGCATTATTAAATGAAAGGAGAAAAAGTATTTCAAGCCATCATATTTGCAATAATTATTACCTTATAGAAACTGCATTGAGTTCTGGGCTTAATTCATCTTTATATGATGGTATTAGGGCTGCTCAGTGGCGCAGTGGCTAGAAGCAACCTTGCAGCAAGAAAGTTGCAGGTTTGATTCCCGGCCCGGGATCTTTCTGCATGGATGGTTTGCATGTTCTCCCTGAGCATGCGTGGGTTCTCTCCTGGTACTCTGGCTTCCTCCCACAGTCCAAAAACATGACTATTAGGTTAATTGACTTCTCTAAATTCTCCTTAGGTGTGAGTGTGTGCGTGAATGGTTGTTTGTCTCTGTGATGCCCTGCGATGGACTGGCGACCTGTCCAGGGTGTACCCTGCCTCTTGCCCGTAGACAGCTGAATAAAGCGTGTCAGAAAATGGATGGATGGATGATGGTATTACTCACCGTTTGGGAACAGCTGTAAAATGTTATTTATTTTTTTAGATAAACTGTTGAAATGCATTAGCAAATACATTGCTTTTATTTAGGCAATGCTTCTGTGACTGAGATTTTTGCATTATTAGGGTTACATAATGAACATAATCTCTGCTTAGAGATTTTCTTATTGTTCACTAAGCCTTTAAAGCCGAAAATGTAAAGTCTCAAGTATTCCTTGAAAACTTTTTATTTCTCAGGTTTGGATAAAAGTAGAAACAATACAATTTGATTGTAGATTGCAGGTTCTGCTCCTTTAAAATCCTGAAGCTAATTTATTTTTCCTACTGCTTCTATCCAGGTCGAGAGTACAGCATTCCTTCACCTCTCCAAAGACTTATGGCAGAGATTGTGGATTTCTTCATATTGTTTTTCATAAAAGCAACCATAATTATCAGTATCATGCACTTAAGTGGAATTAAGTGAGTATATTCTTTAAAAAAGTTTTTTTTGTTTTTTCTTACTGTTTTTGTTCATCCCATTATGAAACTTAAACATATACAGCATCTTGTATAACCTTTTCACTTTATCAGATAGACTACCTCAAAGTATCACTTAATGACATGGTAAAAAGAAAATATGACTTAATGGAGAAGTGAAAAATTGCACATAAACTTTTTAATGTCGTTGCAAAATGCAAGTAATGGATTGGATCAAAGCACATTCTTAAAGATGGACCAGAAAAAGTAAAATCCTCACTCCATGTTAGAATCGGTGGTGAGATTTCATCACATATATTCTTCATCCAAATTGAGTTTGGACTATTTTGTAAAGATAAGTTGGCAAAATTTTAATGACATGCAGCTGTTATTCTAGTGGCAACCGGTTTAAAAAGTATTCAAATTTTTTTCTGTTTAAAAGGTTTCCTTCACTATTTTATGTACTATTTTGTGATTGTCTATGAGATACTTGAGGTTTGTTGAGGTGCTCTTGGTGAGAACATGAAACAGGTTCTCAAAGTGGAAAAACTTAATTTGTTTTCATCTGTCTTGTGTTTCATCTCAGAGACGTTTCCAAATTCGCCATGCATTTCATCGTGGAGGAAATTGATGAAGACACGTCAATGGAGGAGCTGCAGAAAATGATGCTTGTGGCCCTCGTGTATCGGATTTTAGTTTGTTTTTATGAGGTGAGGAGCTTTAATTGACCACCAATGGGTCTCCTAAATGCCAGTTGTGTTGCTCCAAATTGCAGTCATGAAATGACGAAGATCTATTTCCTCCGTCTGCATTCAGATTATTTGCATTTGGGGAGCTGGAGGCGCCACTCCGGGGAAATTCCTCATCGGACTCAGAGTCGTTACGTGCGATTCGTCGGTTCTGGTTCAGCCCAATAGAGTGCTAGTAGTGCCGGCAACTAATGTTTCCCTGTCAGCGTAAGCAACGTCTTTACCTTTTTTTTTTTCTGTTGTATTTAATCTATCCTAGCTCAGCCTAAAATCATGACCTTGTCATTTTTTCTTCCTCTGCAGGTCGACTGTCCGAGCCTTGAACAAGAACTTCTCCATAGCTTTCTTTTTCCCAGCCTTTATCACACTTCTCTTCTTCCAGCACAACAGAACTGTCTACGACATGGTGGCTGGTACGATAGTTGTCAAGCGCTCCAGAGTCAGATGATGCTGTAATGAAGGACAGGAAGAGGATGGATAAATGAAATTTCAAGAGTAAAATAACAAAACGGTGACATTGCTGTGATTAGAAGACATGTGGGACAGCTGCTGCGTGTGGAACACTTACTGAGGTTCTCTAATGGATCACTGCGCGGAGGTTCTGCGTTCGCAGTCTGTTTTATGCCAAATCTTAGCTGTATTTAACACAGGAGGAATGAAAGTGAACACATTTCCCTTTCAGTTAACACAAGCTTTGCCTTATTTGATATCCTCTCCCTATTACAGCTGGAAGCCATGCCTGGATCAGTGTTTGACTTTCTACTAATGTATTTATGTTCTTGTATCCCTCAGTATCTCTTTGCATCACAGGCATGTTCACTGTATTAAATGAAACCCAAACATCAGTTGTAGAAAAATACCAAAATAGGAGATATTTTATTATATTTAAATTTAAAAAGTATGCTTATTGATACCAGAAACATTTCAGAAAAAAAAATACTTCTTAATCTTAGTGTTCTGGTATGCATTACATCTGAGCATTGCTGAAAAGTATTAAAAACTAAAAAAAAATAATCAAATGTGATCTTTGTGGAAGTTGAATGTGCTTAATGGTGGCTTTAGGTTTAAATTATAGTTTAGAGGTCACATTTATGACACTTCAATTTGAACCAACAGGGTTTGGGAAGAGTTTCGAGGTAAATAAGTAATTCCAACTAAACTATCCAATCTCTTTTTGAGGCATTACTCTTTGAGGTTTTTTGGTATTAAGCTTGAACTTTCTGCTTTCCATATTCAGATTTCTCCTGATTCAGGATGCTGCATAGATCCCCCACCATCAAATGAAATTCAACCTGTTCCTTTTCAAATGGAACAGAAGCTCTGTATCTTATAAATACACCCGTTAATATTTATATCTTATAAGTCGATACGTTCTGTATTTAGGTATCACTCAGTGACTCGAAAAGGATTGTTCAGATTTATTTCAGCAGCTTTTTGCTTAGACCATTAAATTTTCAGTTCATGATCCACACTGCTTATTACTGCAATTAAAAAAGCTCTTTTTTTTTGTGGCACATACCAAATGTATTTGAATGAAAACATAAATTCTCCCGTGTGCACACCTGGAGAGTCTTTACTGGGACAAAGCTGAGGTATGGCAAGTTTGCACCCCTAAGAATATTTAGCATTTATCTAAATTAAATGAAAAGACTCCCAGTTCTAAGTGTTTACATATTTTTTATTTTTTTTCTGCTGTGTTTTAACTACTGTATTTAATTCCACAATATTTACAGCTTTCTCTAAAATTTTGAAAAATCTTTCATTGAGGATGGGTATTATAAATGTATCTTAGTGGTAGAAGCAGAAAAATCTAATATTTGAGTTTACTCACTGAAGGTGGAATTTTTTTTTCGAGCGATATATTTATATTTTTTTTACAAAATCATTGCTATAATAATAACAACCCTAAATTGAATTTAACTTGAGCATTGTTTTATTGTAAGGGGTCCTCTGCAGCCTTAGACTTCAGTTTTCTCTTTCTGTTATTACAGTTTTCCAATCCAGATCCTGTCTGACAAAATATCAGATATTTCAGACTTAATTTTTTGTATTTAGGTAAAATCTGGTCTTATTTTAAACACATCAAAACTTCGATTTGAGTCAAAAACAATTTTTTGTTTTGTTTTATGACTTTCTAGGAAGCATGGATGAAACCTGTTCTTCAATAATGAAAACGTTTAACTTTTTATTCTCTTCATTGTTTAAAAGTGAAACCTTTCAAATGTGGTTAATTCAATTTAAATTCATTCATTCATTCAACTTAAATTCATTCATGCCTATTACAGCAATGAAGCTTGTTTTTAAAGTTTTCCAAGTCAAATTATAATCATGTAATCTGCTGAATATACTGTAAAACCCCAAAAGGGCAAAGTTTCAAAACATTAAATAATTTCAGAAATGTAAAACAAGGTATCACGAAGAGTCTGGAAATTAAATATGTTAAAATGTGCAGAAACCTGGTATTTTATACTTTATTTTCTATGGTAGCCAATGTGAGGTACTCAGTTTTTCATAGTTTTCTGTTTCCTAAGGATGTAAAAAAATTTTAACACAGCCCTTATTTTGTCCAACTTCAAATTATTAAGATGAAGAGCACCCATATGACATTATGAAATTCAGGAAACAACGTATTCACATTTACATTCAGACTTCTAATCAGAAGTTTCAAATCAATCAATAAAATTCATTTCAGCCGCTTGAATCCGGGATCTCGTTCTTTAGGTCATGACCCAAAGCTACTGACCATAGATGAGGGTAGGAAGGTAGATCGACCGGTAAATCAAGAGCTTTGCCTTATGGATAATCTTTCTCTTCACCACAACTAACCAGTACAATGCACGCTTCACAGAAGACGCTCCACCAATCTGCCTGTTGATCTCCTGCACCGTGTTCCCCTCTTTCGCAAACAAGACCCCGATATACTTAAACTCCTCTACCAGGGGCAGTATGGTGGTTTAACTTAACAAAAAAGTTGTGGCCTCTAGTCACTTTTTGAAGGGGCAAGGAGACCAAACATGCAGTGAATAAGATCCATATTGGTCAATGCAGTGTAGCCTACATATGAGCTGCAAACCTGTGAGGCTTTTTCTATGTCCAAAAAGGCAAAACACCATTTAATTATTGCCAGTTTACAGAACGGTGCAAAAATTGTGCAATAGCCATGATTATAGAAACAAGCGGACACATCTGCAGCAGGTAGAGATGACTGAACCAGAATTAATGAAAGATGCATTAAAGCTAGATAAGTAAGCACTAAACAGGGGATGTCAAATTTTAGTCCCATGAAATGATTCCATGCACTGAAAACACTTCTTACAGTGGTGAAAATGGTGGCAATGCATGGACACTTTTTCACATATTTTGGAGCAGATTTTACAAACAAAATCGTTAAAAATATAAACGTATTTGGTTAAAGTGACTCACGTCCCTCTCTTGCAAATGGCAGTGAACAGAATTGTTTTTAGACCAAGAAGAATAAGAAAACTAAAACAAATATATAAA